AGAGAGAGAGAGAGAGAGAGAGAGAGAGAGAGAGAGACAAACATCGCATGAATCCAATTTCTCCACCCAAAAATCACACAAAACAGGACACTCCTCGGTCATACCACGAACCTCCATCAACTTTTAAATTGATTCACCCTTAAGCTTTCCCAGATCAAACAAAGAAGTTTCCCACCAAAACCCCCAAAATAGGCATTTAATGATTTAATTAAATGCTAGAAATTAAAAAATTCATAGCTTTTCTTAGAAAAATTATAAATATAAAATTAAAATACCCCCGTGTTTGGTGAACAGAGGAGAATAATAGAGGAGAATAATGTGGAGTTTGGTGAACAGAGGAGAATAATGTGGACCAAAATAAAAATTATTTGATGAGTCTCTGATTTTAATTCATTAAATATTTAGTTTATTTTGATTGTTTATTTTGATTAAATATTTTCCACCATGGTTTGAAACTTTGAGGGTTCATTCCTCATGATAGAGGGGTTGTTCTTTGATTTTTCCAAGGTCAGAAAGCATTTTTGTGCATGTAACCCTAATTTTCAAGCTTTGATGGCTATTTTGGCTTAAAAATAATTATATAAATTAAAATATCACTTAGAAAATTATGGTATGAATTTTAGTTGGTTCTTATGGTCAGAAGAGCTTAGAAAAAACATCACAATGGTTTAGATAATTTTTTTACATTTCTATAGTTAATTAAAAATTTATATCTTGTATTAATTTATTTAAATTAAATATTATTAAATAAATTAACAAAACTAACTCCACATTGTGTAGAAAAATCATCTTCACTCACTGTAAAAATTTAAAATTTATTTTGTTTGGTTTAAGTGCTAAAGTTGAATTTCAAAGAAAAAAATATATTTTGGTACAAAAATAATTTAGTTAAATTAAATATATTTTGGAAAATTATGAAAAGTGGTTTTCTGAGTTACTTATGATCAGGGGCACTTAGAAAAAATAAAAATTGTTTTTGAGAAAATACTTCATTTTTAAGCTATATTTTAAATTAAAATTAATTAAAAATAACTAAAAATTACAAAAATATGAAAATGATTCAAAGTGTGCTTAATTGTTTCCTAATCAATTGAGACTCATTAAAATATATTTCTTAATTTTTCTAAGTTAAAAATAAAATTTTAAAGGCCTAAAATGATTTTTTATTAATTTTTTATTAAAATAATTATAATTAAAATATCTTTCTTAATTTCTCTAAGTTAAAAATAAAATTTTAAAAGCCTAAAATGATTAAAGGGCTAAAATGTATTTCCTTAATTTTTTTATTAAATAATTATAATAAATAAATTAAAAAATCATACAAATATAAAATTTGTTTCTCTGGGTTCTCTAGACTCAAAGAGATTTAATAAAAAATATAAAAAATAATTTTTGTAATTCAAACATATTTTCTATTTAGATAAATCATTAAAATCATTAAATAATTTAATAATTAAAATATAATTTGAAAAAAAAATCATGCAATTTTGTCTAGGCGTTTCTCTAACTTAGGTGAATCTCTATAAAAAGAAAAAATTATTTTGATTAATTAAATAAATTAATATAGAAAAATCTTAATTTTGAATTGAAATAATTATATAATTTATATAAATTAAAGAAAATTCTAAAGGACCACATTTTTCTGTCCTACGATATTTTAATTAACTCATGATTTAGTCTCTATGGAAACCTTAAAGCCAGTTGTGTTTCATTTGATAAGTTATATTGAGCCCCATGGGCAAAATGATCATTTTGGAATTTTAATGCCTTAGTTAAATTTTAGGATTAATCCAAGGGTAAATAGGTATTGTTGATCATAATAAACTTTTTTGGATGATTGAAACATAATGAGTTAAGACGTAGAAACCAATTTTTCATCCTCTTCATGATAAGGGTAAAGTTGTAATTTTTATAATTGTCATGATTTAGAAGATTATTCAATTAAGATGATCCTAAGGTAGTGGTATTAAGTTACGAAGATAATAATTCACTCATTTAAGGCTCACCAATTAGTGCTTAGTTACTAAGTCTGATTTTAATGAGAATTGAAATCCCATTTGAATATTTAATTATCTTAATTTTACTTTAAAAATTGAAATTGAGAGAGCTTGATAGTGAACTAGATTTGATATGTAAGAATTGTCTTAATTGGGATTATAAAATATGGACATAACTAATAAATAACTTCAAACACTTTGTGCCCTACTTTAACTTGAGGCATTAAAATCCTTAATGAAATTAGACTTGCTCTTTGGGGCACCCACTCATATAACTGTCAAATGAAATGTTAGGTGACTATCTAATTTTTCTCATTTTTTAGATAATTAAATTGTTAAATTTTGTTGAGTAATGATGTAATTTTATTTCGACCTTGGGATGATTAATAGAGCAATATGACAAGTTCAAAATGAACTCGAAACGTTTCAAGGGATTTTAAAATTTTTTCAGGGATATATTGAGATCTCTTGGATATTTTTAAGGACTATTTTTGTTCTAGAAAATCATCAACTAAGATCTTTAGGGACTCACCGAGTCATGGTTTGAGGGTTCGGAAACTACACCTTCATCTACTTTTGAGATTTATTTAAATTTCCTGTAAAATTATATATATGTTGCAAAAGCTAATTTTTCAGCTGGAATGCCGAGAAGATGACAGGTACATTTTTACAGTGTTATTTAATTTCTATTATTTTACTTTCTGCAATATAATTTTGCTGCAAAATATTATAATTGCTTGGTTGTGCACCTTACTTGCAAAAATCAAAACCATTTTAAAAAATTAATCAACATTTTCAAAACCTAAAACAAATTATTTCAAAGGTAGTCATAAATCATTTAAGATGTCAATAAACTTAAAACTTCCTTTTGAATTTACGGGAGTCCCTCGGAGGAGGTAACTCATGGTTGCTAACGAGATCTCCCCGGTTTAAATAAATGTAACAACTTGTTTAAGCTAATTAATTCAAAAGAAAATAATAATACCGGAATGAGGGAACCGTGAAATCCTAACCGGTGTCGCTCTAATCAACTTTAACCCCCCCTGATTGAATTTAAACTTGTCATTTAGACTTTTTGGACCTTAGACTTTAGGACCGCTACTTCGTCGAGGAGCTTGGAGCTAACTTTATGGGCAGCAATCTACAACAACATAAGAATTTACAATAACATGAGGATTTACATCAGCATATCTTTCTTAGAATTAAACAACACAAGTCATAGGATTTCGAGGTTGTCCGCCTAGTGCGATATAAATCCTCAACTCTTTCTTTAGACCTTTGCACAACCATGTTGTGCAATTTAAGCACTAACTTATTTTAGGATTCCAAATTTGTCGTCCTTCACGATCTAAATTCACACATCTTTCAGGTTATTTGTGCGATCGTCTCACACAGATGTAAGACCTAACTAATAAAATTGGCAGGATGTAACATTTTAAATAATCTTTCCTCTCAAAACTGAAGCCAAATAAAAGGATAGCTTGGGAAGTCACCAGGTTCTCCTCAGGATCCGTGACATCCCCTTGTTCTTCTTTCTTTGGATTTCAAAATAAAATGTTCCAAATTTGAGTCATTCCTATTTCACATCTCTTTGTCCAATCTTTTGAAAGTTTTATCCTTTGAAATTCTTGAAGACAATATTCCCTGATCTAAATCAAAAGTTTTCTTAAGTGAGTTCAGTTATCTTAGATGTAATTAACTATAGGGCTTTCCCTTATAGGAAACTTTAAGAACCAAACTTAATAAAAAACCTATTTAATCTTTTATATTAAATAGGGGAACTTGTCGATCAACATAAAAAATGAATTTCTCGCAGGCTTAAACGGTTGTGATAAATTCTTTATTTTATTTAATCGAGCCTTCACCAGTAAGTAATGTGTCTACCCTTTCGGATATTTGCATTGCTTGCGGTGTTAGGCTCATTTATTAAAACTATTGTGGATATGGGATCAATTCGATCTCATATTTTCAAAACTTAAAATATTACTTTTTCAAAATTATATACGTATATTAAATTAAAGCGCG